AAATAATGATTTTAGTGTCAATGAAGAAATCAAAAGTCATGGAAAAAATTATCTGAATACAGACTTAGTTGCATTTTCTTAATTTTACAGACCAGATTATTCATGACATTAGATATCTTATGAATTGCTCTGAAATTCCATTAGATACTTTAAAATTGTTTGAACATTTTGAGCATTATAGAAATAATATTCTTCAATCAGATTACTTAGATATGATTTTTGCAATAGGTTTACAAAATTTAGGCCTCACATGTTATCAAAATGTCATCATACAGGTATTAATACATACTCCATCATTTGTTACCTATATTCTGTGCAAGTCTAAAAATCACTTGTGCAAAAAAGATCAGTCATGCTTATTATGTGATTTTAAGCATTTTTACCTTGCCCGTACCATCAAAGATGGAAGGGAAAGGTATATTAAGGGAAAAATTTTGTCCGGCGTTGTCGTCGTTGTTGTTGTTGTCGTCATCGTTAATAATTGTTATTGTGTGCATAATAACTTCACTAATTCTCTTCCAAACTTTATCAAACTTGGTCACCTTATTCATCAGTATAAAGTCCTCCCTGAGTTTGAACAACAGATGTCCTGTATGAAAATATCATGCAAAAATTGAGAAAATCTGATAAAATATTTTGACTGTTTCTACTTGACTGATCACTGGTGATACACATCAAAGGTCACTGATCTCAGTGGAAATATGCATTGTTGTATGTGTTCAATGAAGCAAATGATTTATCTTGTAATAATATCCTTGGTAATGTATCTCAGAATCCCATACTGGGTTTCAAAACACCAACTCATGGAGAGATTGCACAGTCTGATACACATTTGCAAACCTACCAATAAAATCTTTACAGAAAACAAGATGTCAGAAAATCATATAAGCACTGCTATGAACTGGGTGCCAAACTTTGATCAAGATCTGAAGCTGATAGAAAATCTGTTTAGTCAAAAGTTATCAAATCAAAAACAATACATAAAAAATACATTAAAAGCAAAACATTTCATCCACATTTTAAAAAGAAAATTATTCTAAAATATATGTATTCTGTATTTGACAAACAGTTCATTCGACAAATGAAAACTCACAGGAATATGTTTCAGCTATTAGAACAGAATGATATAGTTTTTATAATACTGGTTTAAAAACGCACTTCAAGATATTGCAGTGTTTGAAGATGTAGTTTCTCAGGAGGTAACAGTACTGTTGACTTCTCCCTCTACTGGACACCAACTACGGTAACTATTTAAGTTGATTTGCATACCAAGCAGAGCTTGCAACATGACAGCTATTCATAAAGGGTGTTTTTTTTTTTTACTTTTCATATAATACAGTAGCCACACAATGAGGCAGTTCATATTTGTCTCAGTGAATCATTAATTTTTGACAGACACCTGTACAAAAAAATTGGACAAAAGCCAGCTAAGATTTTCTGTTATCTTGCATGTTTTATGAATCTATTCACATCTAAATGCAGCACTTTTTTTTTTTTGCGATGAGGCATTTGTTTTTATACTAAAATATCTGAATTACTTTGAATAAAGCTGGAAATTATGTCCCTTAAAATAATTATTAAACAAATAAGGCACCAATGTTTTTGTAAGATATTTACATCTTTTAAGGACATTCGGTAGACTGATTCCCCACTGTTGGTTCAACCCCAAAACTTGTTTATATTTTATTTTTATTTCATTTTCGGCTCCTGTTCGTTCAGCGGGTTCGCGAAACAAGGGATAATAAAAGTCTGACCTATTATATCAAAAAATTTAAAAATGCTCTTGAATTCCCTTTAACCCCATATACATGTAGGTTTTGAATATTGATCATTTTGTCTATTGTTGATCTTTGCACAAAGTACACTTCTAGTTGTACTTTGATACAAACCTTGATGTATCACAATCATACAGAGGTAGGCAAGTTTTTTTTTTTTATATTTTTGTCCCAGTGTCTGCGACACATAATGTCACTGTTGTTTTTCTCAATGGTTACATTGTACAAGTATTTGTAGTATATAATGTATCACGGAAACTAGATTTCATGTTTTCATGATCGGACAAGCACATGTTGCCATTTACCAAGCATTTGTTCATTACTGAATAAATTTCATTTGACTCAGAGTTTTAAACTTCAGTTAGGATTTGTTTGAGCTTGGAAAGTACATGGGGCTGGTCACATCAATGTAAAAGTACTTGGGGCTGGTCACATCAATGTAAAAGACTTAGTAGGGTGAGGAGTTTATATATGAGCATATGCTGAACAGAACTAGCATATGCATTTAATCCTATCATTTTTTATGTCAAAATAGCATTATCTTGATTATTTTCAGATTGTAAATCTGGCATTATTGTGTTCCATACAACAAGAGAACTCAAATCGGTAAAATAATTTCATATTTTATGTCGAAGAATGAATGTGTTTCTCAGTCTGCAAGCAGCACTGTAAATTCACAAATGCTTTCTGTCAGTGTCTTTCTTGTCTTTTTCTTAGAAACAGTGGTTGAGAAAATAGCTGTAATGTTGAAATAGCTGTTAATATGTTGAAATAGCTGTAATGTTGAAATAGCTGTTAATATGTTGAAATAGCTGTTAATATGTTGAAATAGCTGTTAATATGTTGAAATAGCTGTAATGTTGAAATAGCTGTAATGTTGAAATAGCTGTAATGTTGAAATAGCTGTAATGTTGAAATAGCTGTAATGTTGAAATAGCTGTAATGTTGAAATAGCTGTAATGTTGAAATAGCTGTAATGTTGAAATGGCTGTAATGTTGAAATGGCTGTAATGTTGAAATGGCTGTAATGTTGAAATGGCTGTAATGTTGAAATGGCTGTAATGTTTTGCTGATTCTTGAAC